TTGTCCTGGGCAGTGTTGGAAGGAGGAAAGAGCCATGACCTCAAGGCGGCGTTTCCATCTGTTCATACATTCTGGCTGTTCAAGGTGTTGTCTGCATCCAGGCTCCCGCGAGCTGCCCGCGCAGCACTACGCGCGCTGTACTTGCAGGTGTTCTGCTTCATCCAGGTTGTGGTCAAGCTATACCCTAGTTTTGAAGCACAGCGAGGGATACGGCAGGGCTGCCCGTTGAGCGGGATTCTCTTTGCATTCGCATTTGTCTCGTTGCTCCGCTCGTTTCATCGGGTGCAGCCGCGGATGTCGATTGTGCCCTCTGCATTCGCCGACGACTTCTCCATGATGATGAGGGGTATACTTCAATTGCTTCCTGGGAGTATGAAGCGATGTTTGGCTTATGGGCCCTGCTCGGGCCTCGAGCTGAACTTGAGAAAATGTAAATTTCTCATGTTTTCTGACTGGCCCAACGAGGGGATCATGGAGAGGTTGTTGGGAGCACATATGGGGAAGGGGATCGACGTCACTTGCTTCGGGGTGGAGAGGATTGTTACTACGTTAGGCATTGCAGTTGGCCGTGGGGCCCGAGATCATGCCTTGCGAATTGCGAGTGGGAATGTGCGGGCTCGTGTTTGCGAAGTCAAAGCGCTAGGACTCGGGCTTGCTGAATCTTTAATTGCGTATAGTCGGTATTGTGTCCCCATCCCTGCCCACCTTAGTCAATGCCAATCCATTCTCCGATCTGCCATTAACAAAAAAGCGACCAACTCCTGACCAACTCCCCACGACATCCGTTGCCGCCCCAGGTTCTTGTTAGACTAAAGGAGATGCACTGCCCCGTGGAGTGCACGAGCTTGGAGCTCACGTCACGGGACACGATGTTGTGCGCCATGATGAAGTCTAAAAGCTTCGAGTTGCTGCGGAAATTCTTTGAATGTGCGATTGCTGGTGACGAGGTAGGTGTTGCTTGGAAATATCACCACTATTTGAGGTACTCGGTATTCTACCATATGTATCGATTATACCAGTGGTTTTGTACGATCCAGAATCTAGATCAGCGCCTTATTGAAAAGGCCCCAAGCAGCGATCATGAAAATGTTGAAATCCATAGATCGGCATGGAAATTGTTGGATTGGTTCCTCGATTCGTCCCGGGCTAGTCAACTTTTTGGGGCCTGTTCAGGACTCCGAGGTTGACCTTACATTTATGCGATTAGGTGCGTAATCTCAGCCGTGCACCATCGTCGCCGTCATTAAACACTACTCAACACGTGGAATACCACCAGACGCTACCGCCAGAAGCAGGTTCCCTGTGTCTTTGGGTGTGGGGCCAGTGAATCCGACAGCATGCTACACTATATGTCATGTCCCTCTCTGCTCCCCCTCCTGCGTTGCCGTCTGCATGACCTACCCGTGAGTTGTGGCCAGGATGCGTTATGTGCGATTTTCCCCACATATATTTGATATCTCACTTCCTCCATCAGCCCTCGGTGCCTCCGGTGGTCACTCCTCTGCGTTTTTCCCATGCTATTGCTACCGATGCTATCCATTCGGTTTTCCAGGTTTGCAGTCGTCACGGAGTCGCTCCAAGGCGAGCCCGAGAATTTGCCTTGGCGAGGCTAAGGACCTCAGTTCGGAGGTCGAGAGTGGCGCGGTCGATGCTGGCGGGCCGCTCAGGGCCACGAGCGCCTGGAGTGGCGCGATGAGGCGCCCGCGGGGGATGAGATGGATGGACGTTTTGTCTCTCAGGGGTGCGCATCCTCCTGCTCCTCCTCCTTGTCCTCCTCCTCCTCCTCCTTTCCCTCCCTTCCCCTCGCTCCCCGTTTCTCCCCCTCCTCCTCTTCCTCCTCCTTGTTCCCCTCCTCTCTTTCCTCCTCCCCCTCCTCCTTTTCCTCCTCCCCCTTCACCCCCTCCTCCTCCTCCTCCTCCTCCTGCTCCTCCTCCTCCTGCTCCTCCTTTTCCCGCCCCCCCCCCCTCCCCCTTCCCCATCGGCCTTTTCCCTTTGGATGGATAGATCTACACTATATCACTGCATGTTTCCTCATGTGCTGCTTCCGCCGACTCCCCCATCCCCCACCCTTTCCCCTCCCTAGTCCGCCGCGCCACAATGCCACTCATGCCACCGCCCCGCAGGCGCGGGCGCCGCAAGGGCCACTTCCGCCGCCCACGCCGCATGGGGTGGGCGGCGCTAGTCTGCCACTTGCGCCACCGCTTGTGGAGTCGGTCGGGTGGCGCTCTCCAAACACAAGGCAAGAGGCGGCTCCAGTCGAGCAAGTCTCGCCAGCACGTATGAGATCTGCCGTTCTAAACGGCCCAACCAGCAGAAACCTTTTTCTGACTGACCGAGAGCCTCGCGGGAGATTTCGCAAGGTTGGCCACAGCACGGAAATTGTGGGACCCAGGCGCGGCAGAGCCAGGGCGCGCTCTGGAGAGACGAGCGGACAACGTGGCTTTTCCGCACCCGCAGACAGCACAGACAACACACCACGTGCTTGCAGCAAGCTGGGAGGGATGGATCACACGCTGCTGCCCGCCTGCTGCGGCCACGCGGACAGAGGCAGGATCAGCTTTGGAGAGGGCCCTCGGGACAACCACGTGGGGAGGAGGGACGACCTCAAGCGGGAGAGACACATCCTGCTTGCGAGCGGCCCTCGCCTTAGGCAGCACGTGGACAGAGTCCAGGTCGCACAACTTCGGCCCTACGCGAGCGCACCACGTGGCATAATCGGTGAGCGTGCGCGGCTTGGCGTTGTGGGCTTCTCTTGCGTCTTTGGGGATACGAGCACGATCCGTGCTGCACTTGGCCCAGTCGTCGGCCTCAGCGTTGCCTTGACGAATCAAGTCTGAGACCTGACCCCTCTGGACAGCTGCTTTGGTGGTGTGTGCAGGCAACCTCCAAGCTCTTCAAACCGCGCACGCCACCCCAATCATCAATTTTATGCCACACGGACTTCCAAATCTCAGCCCACGCGCCACGACTGCTGCAACAGGAGGAACAGGAGGAGCAAGAGGAGGAGGAGGAGGAGGAGGAGGAGGAAGAGGAGGAGTAGGAGGGGGGTCCGAGTGCTGGAGGCCGCTGAGAAAGGCCGTCAATTCGGCCGCGTTAATGTCGACATGCGTGCTGGCGAGGACGCCAACCGGCGCAGTGGCGTCGCAAAGCTTCCACGGGACGAGACGAGGCGACCGCCCAGTCTGACACCTGCGCGTGGCAGGTCGGGTGCCGGTCGCGCCAGGAGCCGCCCGTCTCTGCGGGACCGCGGCCGAACCATCTCTCGGGGGGACGGTGGACGCAGGCGGTGCAGCAGGAGGCACGAGCACCTTTCTCGGCAGAGAGAAGGAGAAAAGGGGAGAGGCGACCGTAGCGCGCGCCAACGCTCACTGACGTTCTGCTTTCTCTGGACAACGTGGTCAGCAGGGGTTCCCTGAGCTGCCAGGCGCAAAAGTCGATGAGCGGTGGCAGGAGGTATGGGCAGAGAATGGTGGAGGCTGCTATCTAACGGGATCCTGAGTTTCAGTTTCACGAGGGTGCTTCAGGTAATGGAGAGTCGGAGGAGCAGCCGGCGTCGCCGCTAAGTCTGACTCCTCTCTCACCAGGACGGGCAAAGGATGCCTTTTATTTGGCCGCTTCCTATTGAGCCATAGTGAAGCTGGCACACAAATTTATTTCAGATGGGTGCGGGGTTGGTGGTGCCACTCTCCCCGCGCTCACTGAGCTCCAAGTTGACAGACTTTTGATGCCATGCTTTGCCTCCTATGCGCCTCATGCACCGCACGGCACAGCACAGTGTCAAGAAGATGCTATGCAACACCATGCGAATGTGAAAACATCCACGCATTTGGAGCGAGGGCTGAAACGGACAAGGCGGGAATTGAACCGGTAACATTTTGTCTTACAATGACTTGCCTGGTCCACTGTGGAATCCTAGAACCCGGATGCTGGCACACACATGCGGATGCAACGATAACGTCACGAATTTCCGTTTTTCCGAGCCTGTTCTTCCAAGCCTCCCCCTTCTCTTCCTCCCCCTCTCCATCCGCTTCCCCCTCCTCCCCCTTCTCCTCACCCTCATCATCATCATCTTCCTCCTCCTCTTCCTCCTCCTTCCCCTCCTTCCCCGCATCCTTATCATCATCCCCCTCCTCCTGCTCCTCCTCCTCCTCCCCCTCCTCCTCCTCCTCCTCCTCCTCCTCCTCCTCCTCCTCCCTCCTCCTCTCCTCCTCCTCCCTTCATCCTCGTCCCCCTTCATCCTCTCTCCCACCCTCTCCGGGGAACCATGAACCTAAATCAATAAAGCTCCCCCCTTTTCGACGAACCCTGAACCTGTTCCTCCGCCTCCCGCCTCCTCCTCCTCCTCCTCCTCCTCCTCCTCCTCCTCCTCCTCCTCCTCCTCTTTCCCCTCCTCCCCCCCCTCCCCCTCCGCCCCCGCAGCTGCAGGAGGCGCTCCTGGCGCCGAAGGTTGCCGCGGAGGCCCCCACCAGCGGCCCGCGGCGACCACCGCCGCTCGCAATCTCGTCGCCCGCGCAGCCCGCGCCGGAGCCGTCTCCGACTGGCGCCCGGCGGCCGCTGCTGACGGCCCATCGGGGGGCGCCGACCCGAAAGATCCGAAGATCTGACGAAAACGAGCGGCCGTCGTCAGGTGATGTGCTGAATTGGCCTGCGGGAGGCCCAGTGGGGAAAGACGCAGTAGAGCATCTACTTCTTTCAGCGCTCGACGTTCTCAGTTCGCGCGTCGCTCGACGGTCCCATTGGTCTAAAGTTCCTCGTGTGGAGGGCGGGGGGCGCTTTGCGTGTGTGTTAGTTGAATCCTTCTCCCCAAACGCACGCACAAACATAGTTTGGATGCCTCCGTGCGCCGTGAGGGAGACGTAGATGATTGTCGCCCCGCAGAAGGGACGCGGCAGCGCGCGTGTCCGATGCCTTCGTGCCGTGTCCAGGGCCGTCGAAAACGAGCCAGGGTGTGAAGAGCTGGTCTCCTCCTGACCTTGCCGGGAGGCCGCGCTCCTTCGGTCCCCCCCTCTGTTAATTCAAGCTTCGCGCGGTCCGCTTAGCTTCGACCTGAAGAGGTGCGCTCTCGACCCGCGAATCAAAAACAAGGGTGTGAAGAGCTGGTCCTGGAGGAAGTTTCGGCCAGACGTGCGAGTGCCCTCTCGCCAAAGTGGCCTCCGGTGCGGGCCCGATGGGGTCCCATCGACCCTGGAGCGCGAGGTGTTCGCCGCGGCTTGCGCGCTCGGGTCACGCCGCGCACCAGAGGCCACTCTCCCACCTCGCCCCGACCGTCGCCCCCCGCCTGGTCCCGGCATCCCCCCACAGAACCTCTTTTCTTGGAACCCCCCTCTCCACGATTTCTCGCCCAAAACCGACTGATCCCCCCACCTCGCCCCGACCGACGCAGCCCACCTGGCCCCGGCATCCCCCCACAGAACCCCTCTTCTTGGGACCCCCCTCCCCACGATTTCTCGCCCAAAACCGACCGATACCCCCCACCTCGCTTTGACCGACGCCCCCCAGGCAGTTCTTGCGCGTAGCCGAGAGTTGTCCAGACTTCGGGGGGTCCACGCACCGAAAAAGATGCAGCGCCGGGGCGCCTGCGGCGGCACGCCTGCGCTGATGTGCCTGGGGCCAGGCCTGTCCCCTGGCACAGGGTGGGCGCAGGCGTCCTGGCCAGCGAAATTCGCTGATTTGGGGGACCTGCCGGGGACGGCCACGAGGGGGGCGATGTGAGGAGCCTTGAGACGTGGGCCAATTCTCACCGCCCACCACAGCACCCCAACCCAACCCGAAGGCCCCGATTTGCCCTCCATTTCCAGTGGGGGGGCGTCGGGGAACATTCAAAAACACGTATGAAGCCCGTACCCCCTCCCGAATCCGAAATTCGAGTGTTCAGGTTGGGTTAGGATGGTCTGGTAAGTAGTCAGATCCAAACGGGGGTCAGCCAGAGCGCTGGACCTTGCAACATCCTGCAGAGCCAGGGGTGCACTGACCCGGGCCTGCGCGCAGGATCTTGCAGGATCCTGCAGGGTGGTACAGGGTCTTGCAAGGACCGACGGACCCGGGTTTGCGTTGGCCTGGGTCAGTGCGTCCCCGAGGTGATGATGAGGGGGTGGATATCATGACAATCTCGCTTGATGTTTTTTTGACCCCCCCTGCCCCCCCCAAAAAAAATGACAATCTCGCCTGATGTTCAGTTTGTCTTGCAGCGCACGGGGCGGGGACGTGGGCTATAAGCATGAGCTCCCCTCGGCGGCGCGCGCCACGGCGGCCCTCGAGGACGGCACCCCGAGCCAGAACGCTACGCATTCAGGAAAGGAAAAACACACACAGACACAACTAATCCTCGATTCCCCAGAAAATATGAGAAAATATGGGAATTGGGCGGGAAGACAAAAACCCAGAATATATGGGAAAATATGGGCATGGACACATGCATGAGGGTACAAGGCCAGCCCGCAGTCATCATGGACATCGTTCCAGAGGATCCGTCGAAACCGCTTCATGGCTATCTCCCAGGTGAAATGGTCGCCTCTATTCCTGCGGTGCGTCTCCGGTCATGTTGTGCGTCCCCCCCCCTGTTGGACGACCCCTTCCGCAGAGATCAGAGGCTCTGACACACATTGAAGCGGCTGTCTTTCGGCTGTCTTTTGCTCCATGCACCGTCAAAGACGCACACAGGATGAAGATCAGAAGGGGAAACATCGCACAGACACCATTTATTTTCGACCCCCAGGGCAATATCTATGAAAATATGAAAAGTGGGTGGGGAGACGAAAACCAGGAACAACAGTACAAAAGATCTGGTGATCCCGGGATTCGTGTATTTACTTGCGTGTCCCTGGGCCCCTCGAGAAGAGCAGGCCCCGCCCCCGAGCCCCCAGTGTGCCCAGGGAAGGGCCCGGGGACCCGTCTCGAGCGTTTCTAAATTGAATTCCTCCTTTTCCTCCTTCGCCTCCTCTTTCCTCTTCTCCTCCTCCTACCCCTTCTCTTCCTCCCCTATCTACTTCTTCTCTCTTTCCTCCTCCTCCTCCTCCTCCTCCTTCTCTTCCTCCTTATCGTCCTTCTGTTTTCCCTCATTATCATCGTCCCCTTCTTCCCCTGCACCCTGAGATCTGGACCGGGGCCAGGGCGAGGGCGGCGGCCAGTATGAGAATCGGAGGCCCCACCACACCACGATTTCTGAGGGGGGAGGGGGGGGGTCGCTTTGTCCGGGACCGCCCGAGCGAAGTGAATCCAGCCTCCCCCCTCAGAGTGCGAGGGGTGGTGGGGCAGGGTTCGCATGTGGCCTCCCAGAGAGGGAGGCAGTGGGCCTCCCATGGCAGGCTGGAGGCTCCCAAGAGGGCGTCTTACTCTAGACTCGTGCAAGTTTACTTGCACGAGTTTAGGTACTTGAGATGAAGATCTAGACCTCCTAGATGGGGTCGGAGTAGATGGGGTCGGAGGATCGCGCCGCATCGCTATGCATCGGCGCCGAATCGCCGATGCGGCTCGATGTGGAGCCCGACTTGCCTCAGGTCGACGTCGCCGATGCATCGCCGACGTCGACGATGCATCGCAGGTGCATCGCCGATGCCTCGCCGATGCATCGCCGACGTATCGCCAATACGGCGCGATCCTCCGACCCCCTCCACTCCGCCCTGGTGGAGGCCTCTGGAAGAGCGGCCCGGCCTTCCGGGGGTCCGCGCGCCAGAGAACTCGAGGTCCGGGTGCGGCAAAGAGGGGGTGATGGTTAGGGGGGGGGGGATATCATGGCGGGGGCCATGCCATGTCCCCAGATTTCATGGCGCCTCTTCTTACTTCATTACGTCCCTGGCCCCCGCGCTGGGCCGCGCACATGCCGCCGGTCATGATTTGCACCCCCCCCTCTGCTCCCGGCAGGGGCGCAGCGCGCGAGAACATAGATTTCCGCGTGCTGCGGAGGGGAGGGGAGAGTGGGCCGCAGCGCGCGGAGATGGATGTTTCGCCTGCCACGGGGGGGGGGGGGCGCGGCACGCGAGACTCGATTGTCTTGGCAGCGCTCGGACTTGTGCAGTTTTCCTTCGGCGGGGGCAGTCGAGGAGCATCCTTGATCGTTTGGCGAAAAGGCCACGCACGAAACCGGAAAAAGCGCAGGGAATGGACGTGCGAGCGATGGCGGGTTGTCGCGTGCTACCAGGGGGGGGGGCCGGGCCTGGGCAGGACCCGACAGAGCGCGTGGTCGGCGCCAGCCCACTGGAGGCCCAGCGGTTGACACCAAGACGCATGTCGGCGGCCTGCCTCCACCGATCGGCGGCGCGCCCCGGGGGGGGGGGGGGAAGCGAGAGGGGCCGGAGGCGGAAATGGAGGAGGAAATGGAGGAGGAGGAGGAGGAGGAGGAGGAGGAGGAGGAGGAGGTGGAGGAGGAGGAGGAGGAGGAGTCTGGGGAGGCTCGGAAGTCCCCCGGACACGTGCCAGGAAGCTGGAAGCTGGATGCGCTTCACGTGCCTGGCCTGGGCGAGTGCTGGATGCACAGGTGGGGCCACACGTCCTGCCAGCGCGCGGCCCTCGCGTGGCCAGGCACGCTGGCCCTTCCACACGTGTATCCAGCAGGTTCTTTTCTGAAGTCCCATTTGAGCGGCGCGCCTCCACGGGGTCGCATTCGCTGATATTGGTCGGGGTGGGCAGAACCCCCAACAGTGACACGTCGATCAGTGAATTGTCCGTTTTCGGTTCTCGAGATGGCGCCGTGGCCGTTATTCTCCAGGCTTGCGCCCGCCAGGTTTGGGCCTCAGGTCGTTTTCACTAAACCACGTTTTACTAAAGGGGGGTTTGTCCATCCCCGAATTGGCGCATAAGCTGCCCGCGTAAGGTCGCGGACAGGCGCCCGCGCTTCAAGTGTGGCGTGTCGCGCGGGCGGCCCGCGTGAGGCACCGCGCAGGGTCGCTGTGCCATCTCGCGTGAGAAACGTGTTTGATCGTCGCTCACATGCGAATCCAGCCAAGTACTTTCCCAGCTCCCTGGAACAAGTTCCAAGCCTCCAGCTCTCGGCCACGCGCAGAGGGGGGTATGGGGAGGGGGGAAGGCCTCTCAGAAGCACCCCCGCTCCTCAGAGGGCGTGGGCCTTGTCTGTAGATGTAGGGCCGGCGCCTTCTCAGGGGCAGCCTCCCTCCAAGAAGCCTCCCCCCCTTCCCCCAGCCCCCGTGTGTGCGCCGTCAATCGTGACCACCGACCCGCATCGTCGATGTTAGGAAGGAGTGTTTCGGCCCACGGCTGCCGCTTCTTCGGGCGCGCCGGTAGCCAATCGTCTAGACGTATAAGAGCGACCTTTCGCCGGAGTGACCTTTTGTTGCGGGCCCAATTGTGGCCCCCCAATGGATGGGAGCCTCTGGCGCTCCTGTGTGTGGCCCCCCCGCGTCCCCCAAAGAAGGCGCGCACCAAAGGCCACTCCTGCCCAGGGTCACTCGTTGCGTGTAGCCGAGCCACGCTCGTCGAGATCCCCGCCTGCGGGGCCCCGGAGCCCACGTGCGTGGGAGAAGAGAGGAGGGGAGGACGAGGAGGGCGACGGGCAGGAGGAGGAGGAGGAGGAGGAGGAGGAGGAGGAGGAGAGGAGGAGGAGAAGGAGGAGGAGGAGGAGGAGGAGGAGGAGGAGGAGAGGACGAGGAGGAGAGGACGAGGACGAGAAGAAAGGAGGAGGAGGAGGAGGAGGAAGCGGCGGACCCGTGCAGACCCACGACCCACTCACGGTGCCGTGGCGCGCCGCCACGGCTCCCAGGCCTGGGGCTCCGACGCCGCGCTCTCGTCGAGCCCGGGCCTCCCGAGCCGCGCGCCCCGCCGCGGAGCGGCGCCCGCGCCCGCGGCGCGCCGCCGCGGGCCGGCGGCGTCTGCCGCGGCGCGCCGGGCGGCCGCGGCCCTCGCGCCGCACGGAGGTTCGGGGGCACAGGGCTCGTTTCGATGCCTCCGATGCGATTCGATGCTGGGCTCTCCCGGGGGCAGCGGTGCGAGGGGGGAGGGCGGAGGTCTCGGCGCTGGAGGGCCAAGCCTTCCTGCTTCCAGAAGGCCA